CCACAATGGTTTACCGAATTCCCCTTGGAACAGGAAAACCGATCCATCACAAACGACGCAGCTTCTCACCACGTGCCCCTGCAACCACATTCTTTTACCCCTGAACGACAAACCTCGTAATACCGAATCCGTCCAAAAAGCCTCATCACAAGACACACTTTGCCAAGGTCCACCTCGTCAACTTCACATCGAACGCCAGTGATAGGTCGAACAGGCCCTCGTCTTCTTCCCGCGCCGCACTCCCGCATCTCACCGGTCATTTTGCACTAGCGCCGGACCCCTCGCCCGCCGAGACGGACCCGCAACTTGGCCTTCCCCTCGGCGACTCGGCACCGGGGGGCATCCCCCCAGGCGCCGATGATTGGACCGCCGGACTCAGCACGATCGGCCACGCGGATGCCACCCCGTTCGCGCCTGCTAGTCCGCAGGAGACAAGGGTAGCCTAGTACCGACAAGATCCTGTCTTCGGTTCCCCCTACTCTCTCTGTCTCTCTCTCTGCGTCTGCCTGATACCTACAAAATCTCCGTCAAAATAGCATCAAACTCGCCATGAACACCACTCCCGCCCCGGAACCTAGAAACAAACGATCCACTTGCTGCAACTTGTCTAGTCTCACAAAAGCGAACAAAAGAGACTTTCCCGCTCTCTGACCCAACCAGCACGCCTTCTCGATATCTGAAGCACCATCGTCGGCAAGCAGTTCATGCACGTCAAAAAAGTCTCAGCCTTCCCGCCGACTCTATTCTCAGCAACGGGAAAGGTGGGTGGGGTGAGTTGAGCTTGAACCGCTTCGCTATCCTTGACCCCAAGTGGGTTCGACTTCTCGGCAGTACCACCGAAGAAGCCCGTCTGCGAGCTGTGCTCTGAGAGAAAGATGGAGGCAAAAACGATCATGAGATGGGGTTTTCTAACGCTAACGGCACCCGGCATGAATTTGTTCATCTTAGCTAGGGACGGCTTTCCTGTCAGAGATAAAGGCTGGTGGTCACTGCTCTAGTAGGTGTGTTGTCTCGCACACCCTTTTCGGCTTCGTTCTTCGAGATAGGTGAAAAGCTGCTTCTTTGGCTTGTATCAGGAGTCATCACTAGTGAACGTAAAAGTGTGGCGCAAACTGCCTGATTGTGAACAGTTGAGAGTAGGTAAGTGACCAAGAACACATTGATTAGCTTTCGTGTTGTCTCTTCCCTATAATCAAGGGTCATAGGAAGCAGTTGGTCAAGTGTCTAGGCCTGATGTCACTCCTCTCGCCAGCCTACCCTCTCCTGTGAGATGGAGTTTCGTACCAGGAGTAGCTCCCTACGGGAAACCTCATCACCGCCTTACGCATCTCCGGCAACTGAAGTAATCATCCAAAATCTTCACGAACACACCTCCAACTTGGTATCCGTGTCCAGCATCGTCCGCGGGAGCGAGAGAAACCAATCTAGACTCAGCCCGCCCTATCTCTCTATTCCCAATATGAATAACCTCGGAAACCGTCCCCGAGGCAAAACGAAAAAAAAAGGCCATAGCAGAATTCCAGCCTCACAAGCATCGACAAAAATCTCTGTGCGAAAATGTAGGAGCTTTCTCACCTTTCCCATCTCCGGCAAGAAACCCAAAAGCAGTAAACAGCATAAACAAGCCCATGCTTCTCATGCTTTTCTCGCCTCCCCCACACTACCCAAGGTACCTCACCTTACCTCACCTTACCTGAGCTAGACAGCTATGTGACCGCAACGACCAGAGCTTCGGCGCCTCGTCCGCTCGACCTTTCAGTTCCTGGCCCAGCTGAACCGTCCCGTCCGCCAGATCGCCCCCCCGGATCTTCCCCAAGATCCCCAAAAGCGGTAAAACAAAACGGTTTGCCCCTCCCTCGCCGGCCAGTCATGCAAAACACAGTCCTCATGTCAGCAGACGCTGTAGTATAAATCATCTCAACTCTTCCAGCATTGGCGCCAAGAGTAAGCCAAGACAAGTGAAGACTGCCTTAGGCTTTGGTCTGTTCTCTGAATGTGCCTTGGATATGCTGCGTATGGGTAGGAATATGATTGGGAAACAACCTGCTGGCTGGCGTACTATGGTATTGGGTGGCCGCCTTGGTGATGCCCGTGCCTCTCAGCCTCGCCTTCATAAAATTGTAGTTTGACAGAACCGCAGAATGAGGAGAGGCACATTGCTTCCCTCAATTCGCTAATCTTAGCCCAGTTCATATAAACTCTCTTCTCCCCCCTCGCCTCCATCTTTGGACCCTCAAAGGCCAATTTTCAGACTTCTGAAGTGAAAGAAAGGCAAGTTTAAAAAAAGAAGAAAGACAAAATTGCGGTCTGAACTCCAGACACAATCCCCAAAGCCTATTCTCCAAACCGTGAAAGCAGGTAGAGGAACTCCAGAGAGAAACCTCCCGCCGCTACCATGACGAGAGAGTACGGCCTGACTTTGACAGCACAGACGACACCAATGAGAGTAATCATGCATTTCGTCCACTTCTCGGCACGACTCCCTAATGGTGTTCTTCTTGGGCGATTTGCCTTTCACCGCTCCGGTGAGTGACCGGCAGAGGTTCAGCTAACGTCGAGCACCATTCTGAAGCCAGGTCATGTTGCCGACTCGGTTGCTCCCGTTCGGGGAGTAGACACTCGAAACACTCTTATCCCATGTGCAGCGACTGCCGCTGGTCGTCAACATGGTAGTTCCATGTTGGCCCCTTGGTGCCAAGACCCATGAGACTCCCGTTCTCTGCCATCTGGAAAGTTTGTTTCGACTCGAGAGAGAGCCTCAATCATAGCAAGTGTCTGTCCAGTAAACGCAGAAGAATATAGCCATAATTGATAGACCAGATGGCTGGTGAACGTGCAAGAGACTGAGAACCAGGTAGGGAATCAACTGGCGAATCCGGCTTGGCTTCCGCCCGGCGCGGCCGTTCTCAGGGGAATCCCGCCCTCCGATTAACGCCGAACGCCGGGGCGGCTCAAGGAGAATCACCTAGAGCCCCATAAACGGGTTGATCGGAAATAAGGTGTCCGCAGAACTTCGGACGAATACCAATTGCCCGTGTTTGAGCGGTCGAACCACCTCCGACAACCAGGGCGATCCCACTCCAGAGGGAACCACCGTTCTCTGCCTTGCAGACGGGGGCTCCTCATGAAGCAGGCTCATGCCAGTCTGACCATCCACACCACTGAACCCAATAGTTGGGAGGGTTGTCACAGTCTCATGCGCATAGAAACCAATCAGACTCGCCTGGGGGACCAATGCCCGTCTGTGTCCCGGCCACAAGGGCCACGTCGCGGTTCTGGCATTCATGCTATCTTCGACATAGCGGAATGTTGGGTGCCAGTGAACTCGGCAGAAGGCCAGTAATCTAGATGAGCAGGTCAGAATTCAATATCACAAACTCATGTGGTTGGCTCCTCGAGCACCCGTGAAGGGCACGTGCGAGACGCATGGATGATGTGAGACAACAGCAGACAACTGCTAAAGCGAATACAGGCTGCAGCGCGTGTGTGATACAAGCAAGCAAGGGAGGCGGGGATTCGCTGCTAGACCGAGATGGTGACTCGTGAAGCTGTAAGCTTATTTTCGAATCTCACCGACTCCTCCAGGTCATGAGCGACTTCATAAATCTCTATAATCAACAGAGCCAATCAGTGCAGTCATAACGGCTGCGGTATCACGGAGTGCTGGCGGGTCTTGGCACCCGGATCGCTCGGAGGTTGTGCGCACCGGCGGTTGCGCCTGTCTCTCTTTCTCAGTTTGTCAACTCACACTCCCACTTTTGTTGACCTAAGAGTGAGACAGGGCTTGCCCAGACGCCGGAGTTGGATTAAGCTCCATTATTCTGTTTGGCGGGTCCGATTAACCCCATTGGAAAATACGGAAGAATCCCTTGGGAGCTCATTTCGGGGAGCGTCGTCAACGAGGCCCGCTCAAAGATTCCGAGGTGGAAACGGGGCGGGAGGAGTGGGAAAAGTCCGCCGATGGCCGGGCCACCGTCGTTCCATCAAATTTCGATTTTGCAGGCTCACAATCTCGATTATTGCCAGGGCCCCAAAAACCCAGGTGAATTCTCTTGCTCGCCGATTGTCTTTTCTTGGGCTCGTTGAAGGAGTGGACGTTGGTACCCTGGCTCACATCAGCGGGGCATAACGTAACGCTCGCGCACGCGACGCACGACACTGGAGTGGTCGAGAGAGGCAGAAGCTGCTGCAAACACTTCCGCCGAGCTCGCCCCCTTGTCGGTACTGTCAACCTGTGGTTTGTGGGTTACGCGAGTACGCGGGAACGTGACTGGCTGCCGTGTTCGGTATTGTACGGAGGAGGTAGCACAGACAGTATCAAACTGCCAAGACCGCCAAGTGCGCTGGAGCCTCTTAATGACGATGAATGCTGCCGGTGGTGCCCTACACTTCAATGCTTCCCCTCCTCAGCTGGACTGACACAGACAATACGCTATAGCGCTTCAGCGGTGAGACAAGGTGATACGGTGACGGGTAGGACCTGCAGGCCACGGGACTTCAATATGTAGCGGAAGTATAAACCTGCCCTGGTTTATTAGCAGGTGCTGCAAAATGCTGTGAAGGGACTGATGTTAAATCAAACACACTGACGACGTTGAGTCTCGAGAAGCCGTCTGCAGACGTTGAAGCGGCTGCAGAACCCAAAGCACCTAGCCACTAGTCGCCGGTCTGGCGCAAGAGCTTGCAGTCATCGACTTCATTCGTGGTCGGCGAACACGGACATCGCAGTGGTTTCAAGTACAGGCACTTGTACTGAACGCCGGTGCAAAGACAGGCTTCTGATTAGTGTTGTGCCCGATGGATATGTGATGGTCGTCACAAGTTTTCTGAGTTAGTCGCCGTTTAGAGGTATGGGTGATCCATGATGCCAACTTGGTCAGGTCTCAGTGCTGGCGCCATGTGAATGGCTACTAAGAGTCGACTATGGCGCACGCGGCGAAAGTGTCAAAAGACGATCCCTGACTTTTGTGGCTTACAACACACAATTCAACAGTAAGCCGTCACCCATGCCAAGACAGGGCGCCTAGTCTGGTGGGTTTTGATGGATGACATCCATGTGGCGGACAGAGAGACGTCGGGCTCGGGATCATCCAAGTCCGCGAAGTTCGCGGTCTGGCCTCTGCTGCTCGCAGATCAATCATCAACGACCGCGCGATAGCAGCAGCAGCCGCCAGTGTATGCACTCGTCCGTCGGTCGTCTGACTTGCTGTGTAAGCAAGCCTGTTAGCTTGAGCAAAGTCAGATGAATTGCACGTTGCACGCACCGCCGAGATTGTCACCATCACAACCATATCCCACATGCTTATCTTGCATCCTCCGCAAAGAGTCGAGGCTAGCCACCACCGAAGCTTTGCATCTTGCAGCATAGAACGGGTAGCGACTGGTGGCATCGCTCTTTCGGCGTCTCCCGCATATGGGCGGGGAATCGCATCGATTGGCAGAGCGCAAAGTGGTCGGCATGCACAGCTGCCTGCACACAGGTAGGAAGGGGGAGACCACCCCGGAGGCCTAGTCACAGCCAAGAGATGATATTTTGGGGGCGGGTTTGCGGCTTGCGAGGAGTGATGCGAGAAGGATGCGAGATCACGAGATGTCGCTTTTGGGCTTCGCGCGTGTCGCAATCTGATTCTAACGAGGTATGAAGGGGTTACCACCGGGAGGTTTCGGTATGCCTGTGCTGCATGGTGTGGCCTAGAATGGCAGACGTGCCTGTCATGGCCGCAGGACCTCGAGCGTGAAGCGTTTCGCTGTAGGCAAAGGTGAGAAAACCCTCTTGGTTGCATTGTGCAATGCGTCTGCCCCCTTCGAGTCCCGATCGAGCCATGTGTAGAGCATCGTCCCATCGTAGTGACGGCCGTGACTGTCCGTGTGCGGAGCACGTCGGCCGGAACATACTGTAATGGACTGTACACTACTCCGTACTCTATGGCAGAGACAGGAATCTGAGTGTCACAGACCGTTAGAGGTCTTCCATATGTCTTAACTCTCAAGCTGGGTTGGTGGACGTGGTAGTGTTGCCGCTGTATTACCCGCGTACTGCGTATCTGCACCTCGCGTACATGACATCCGTACTACGTACAGAAATTATCGCCAGGCCTGGGTCTCTACGGTAGAGAGAGATCAGCAAGCGGGAAACGGAAGAGTGAACTTGACCGACCCCGACCTCCTTGGGCTACTGAGGCTCCTGAGGTGTCGGGCAGCGGCGTCCTTGTCGGTGGGCGGACAGCGGTCGCGCGGGAAACAAGTGGAATCCGGGATTAAGCGATGTGGGAAATTTGAGATTTCTTCCGTAAGCAATTTACCAGAGGGAGGGAAAAGCAAAGGAGAAATTCATGACGACAGTGGGGTTGAGAATCCAGGAACGTCGTCCGCCAAGTGGGGGGCATAGGAAGGAAGACTCAGAAAATTGGAAGGAACAAACGAGTGATGCGACAAACTGATAATGACCCCCCCTAGTTGAGATGAGAGTACCGTGCACAATCTAAGCCTATAACGGCTAGGGTTAGAGGTTAGGGTGGGGCTTGGGTTTGGGTTATTAGCTAGGATTAGGGTCATGGGTAGTCTTCGGGTCTATAGAGTATGTATTTTTCCGTTACGTTCAGGCGAAGTGCACGGGACTCTCACCTCAACTAGGGGGGGTCATTATCAGTTTATGTGTAGACTCAAAAAAACTGAAGTCAACAGCTCAAAGAAGAAGTGGGTACCATGGTAAGGTACCTTTCCAAGGCTCGCCCGAGGCAGGACGGAGGTACCGGTACTTTCGAGAGGTACTTTGTCTCTTCGACACCGAGCGATCCGAGTACTCCTGCCCCAGTGGCCAGTGCTCGGGAAAGCCATGGCTGCCATGCTCACCCAACCACACATTGCAGTCTTTCATTTCCAGCTTCCTTTCACTCGGCCGACTTTTTCAGAGAGCTTGCCCAGATTTGCTCCATTCGCTTTCCGCTCGGTTTCGCTGGTTCCTTTTCCTCCCCTGGTCAGTCAACCTCGCGGCGGACGAGGCTACGCCGGCATCGTTTGGCTACGCTTGCTTGAGCCTGGAGTCCCGGGGCGCGCTAAGAATAAGAGAGAACGAGTCGTCGTCACCTCGACCCCCAATCATTTCGCATTTGGCCTGGTCGGCTCCCTCTGAGCTCTGGTTCAGTGGCTCTGCGTGACTGCATCGCTACCATCCCTGCCTGCGCGTGCGATTGCGTATGTGCTACGCAGTAGTGCCAGACGATACTGGCGGTAAAGAGAGGCGAAGGTAAGGTCGCTTGTTTGATGCGGCGCCTCGCGTGGGTGTTCCATTGACATCTTGCATCATCATGATCTGGCCTGTTCTCTGTTTGAGGACGGCTATTCCGCACCCACATGAAGGCTATCCCGCACCCATACTAGGCCTACTCAAGCAAATAGTGGGCTACACGTGACTGCACCGCCGCAGCAGCCACATTGGGCGCGCGCCTTCCTATTATTTCTGTTTTGACGCGTCTTTTTTGTCTAATACCTCCTTTTTTAGTCACTTTTGAAGCAGGATAAGTACCTTTTTGAGCACTAAAATATGAGCTCTAGAGAAGTATTTCCCCTAAGCAAAGACTGGCTTCTGAAGTCGTGGTTCTGACTCCGAAAAGCGCGCATAGGCGGTATTATAAAAGAGGGCAGAGTGGAAGGTGCAGCAGGCAGTGGAAGGTGCAGCAGGCAGTGGAAGGTGCAGCAGGCAGTGGAAGGTGCAGCAGTGGAAGGTGCGCCTTCCAATCCTCTCGAAACTGCCGGAATGATAGGAATTCCGGGTCAAATGTGGCTGCTGCGGCGGTGCAGTCACGTGCAGTCACGTGCAGCCCATTATTTGCTTAATTAGGCCTAGTATGGGTGCGGGATAGCCTTCATGTGGGTGCGGAATAGCCGTCCTCCTCTGTTTGTCCTACAACCCCCGTCTCCCGACTTGCAAAACTTGAGATGACATTCATTTGGCGCTTATATGAGGCACATCAAGGGTGATGCCATTATCATGAAGCCTCGATGATGCTGGCATCCTAGCGTCTAAGGGGTCGAGGTCCCTTTTTTCGTTTCCCCTCCCCTTTCGCGGCGGTGGACTTTGGGCGGAAGTTGGAACCACAGAGCTAAGGAATGCAGGATACCCTTCGTTCGCGTTCCGTCTTTGAGCCTCGGTGCCGGCGACGGCGGCCGATGGATTAGATAAGCGCGTCCGGCAATGGGATTTTGAAAAAAAGGGACCTTCAGGGAAGGGGTCGAATAGTGGTGTTGGTTAAGTTCGAAGCCAATTCAAGCCACCGACTGCAAGCCCCATTTTGACAGTGACGCTCTCTAACGCCGTTCGTCAGGCCACCCAATCTGATTCACATCGACGCCGGCATCGACGGGCCAGCGGCCAGCCCGATTGTACCGTCCGTTGCTTTCACCCAGAGTCGCAAGCCCCCCTCCCCATGACTCCTCGATGGCGCCGTCGTCTCGGCCCAATGACCCGCGCGGGCCACTGAAGTCTGAACTTCACGAGTGCGGCCGCGCAATTATTCCTTGGTGGTGCGCCGATTCGAGAACGGCCCTGAATGTCGGCGGTTGCAGCTACCGCACGCCGATGGGCCTCCGAAACCGAGATTTACGTCGTCGACATGCAATTCCCGAACTGTGATGTACCGGCGTCGGCTCCGTACTTCGTATGTGGGAATTCCCAGCCTCGTTGTTTCTTGGTTGACCTACACAGTACGGATAATCTGCATGGCAAACCTCGCTGCGAGCCTGCGACGAAGGGGGCCTCGGCTCGGTACTTGGAGACGATGCAATGATGACGATAATCTCAAAATCGGGTGAGTAGCAGTTGTTTGTTTCACCGAGATGATTTTATTTTCAGGGGTGGACAGCGGCCAGACCAAGGAAGACCGTAGACGTATATGTCAAAGTGCCATTCCGTTGCTTCTTTCTGCTGGATGTGCGACACGTTTTGCTGGGCTGCTGGTAAAAGCCCCGGCCCCCCGGGGTGAGCGGTGGGAAGGACGGGCCAAACCGTCAAACAAGATTGTTGGGACGGGTTAATTCGTACATAGTGACAAGTGTGCTCTGTACCGGGAATCATCAGCCCTGTCGACCGGGTCATCATCAGCACGCGACACGTCTTGTCTTTCTGCGACTTTTGCTCGGGTGCAGGTAACGCCGCCAAGTGGGAGAGAGTAATTTAGGTACCGCAAAGTCTATCGCGCGTCGACCTTGACGGGGGCCGGGGGTGGACTTTGCGGGCCTCAGGATGGACTCGAGATGAAGCCGTCCGCGATTGAATAGACGAACCCATTTCCTTGTCGTTGTCCTATTGAGATAGTCAGCAATAAGGTCTTCGCGAACAATGGGGATATTTTATCAGCACAGCAGAGCCTGCGTGAATAAGATTGCCGCTAGGCAAATAGAAGAAAACATGAACAGACCACAGCTTCTAGATCAGCTCACTAATTCCCGATCCACCACGGAGATGTTCCGTAGATGGATGCGTGGGAACGACCTTTGCTGTGTTTCTGACCTCGGAGTTTTGATCTGTAATCCACAAGAGAATGCGAAGACGAGGGCGGAGAGAAAAAAAAAAAAAACAGGCAGACTAACGAAAAAATCGAAGCAAAAAAATTGGATCATCCCGGTGTCACCCAGAATTCTTCTCCTTACCGGCTGGTAATAGCGCATCATCACGTAAGGCAAGCCCGCCCGCCCACAAAGCAAGAGATGCTCCTTCCCGCCCGCGTCACAAGCAGCGCCAGCGGACTTGGGAAGGAACGGGGCACGACGGGAGTAAGGTAGGAGTACTTGAAGATACGTACCTTTCAGAGCAGCCACCTGCCCGATCAACTGCAGGGAGGTGAGGTGCGCATCGCCCAATCCCTGCACTCGTTTCTTGCAAGATAAGCCCGTGCGCCTAATCGCTCCATATTTTCCAGTGTTTTCACCAAAGAAAAGGGCAGAACTTAGAAGCCATTGGTGACTTCCTCTCAATGTACCACAGATGCCCCGCCACATCAGTACGAGTACCTATACCCGAGCCGCAGCATCCGAGCTTCCTCTCTCATTTTCTCTCTCACTGCGCTACGTGTGATTCTATTTTCCCACTCTACCGCCCAGGTTGGCGATGGCCCCCAATGGGCAAGCAACAATGGAATCCACTACTCCGTACCGGCATGGGTGAATACGCAAAATACGCAAGTACGTGTACTTCCATTGCTACGGCACCTGCCCAGCGTGTGTCAGTCATCGAGCAGTCAGTCGGTCAGTCATCACAGATGCAGACAGAGACAGCAAAGCACAAGCATCGTCTTTTCATCCACCCCGGAAAGATCGACATGAGACCTCGCAGAGACGGCGCCGAAGCTTACCAGCTTTTCGATAGCAAATCATGACAGCAACACTTGTGACCAACCAGTCCATGGTTATCATTTCTGAGGGAAGGATGATGGAAAGACAGCAGAGAATCGTCCACTTGGCATCTGCCTTGCCATGCCGCGCCCATTCTTTGAATCCGGCGTATGGAGTATTCATATGGCAAAGCGAAAGGAGGAAGCAAAACCTGGGCGGTATTCTACAAATTTAGACGCAGTCGGGCTGGTACCACGGTACGGAGAACAATACAAGCACGAATATACCTGCAGTAAGAGACGATGTGGAAGACGCAGTCGGCGGTGGCCGAAGGACAGACGGAGAGAGGGCGGGCGGGATGACGGGAGTACTCGGTACTCAGACTGGTGTTTGCCAAGAAAGGCATGCTAAGGGACTCCAGGGTTGACCTGGATGAAGCAATAGGTACTGCAGCAGAGCATCATAGCTCCATTTTCTTTCGATTCGGACTTTTCACTTTGCCCAGTCCCAGCGTCCCACGCACCAAAACGGACCACATACGGATACCGCCCGACAGTTCCCCCCTCCCCTGGTCTCGGTCAGCTGTGTAGGGACGGGAGACTCGCGCCCACAAGGAAGGAAAGGTGGTCAAAGGTCCTCCGTACTCCGTACCCACGATCAGGTACCTTACAAACCCGTCGGCCAGCCCACCCAAGAGACAAAGTCCGCGTACCGTATACCTTGTCGCGAGGCAGTCTGGGTAACTACGGTACTCGTACGTTCCCTCCCCTTCCTCCCCCTGGTACCTCGCTCCGGTCCTCACTGTCCTATGCGAGAAGAGACGGAGAGCAAACTAAGGTCGCCCACACTCCACACACCACAGAACGACGACCACCCACACCCACCAGGTTCTGCTTGCCCAAGCCCCAAGGCTCACCTTCCTCGCAGTCGCTGCACCCAAAAATCTCTCGGCTTCTGACAAGCACCCCGGTCCCCGCCGCTTCCGTAGGCCGGCTTGGGCGGTCTTGGTACCTTTCCGCTGTGTCTTGGGTGTCCTTGGTACTTGTCAGTCCACACACTTTTCGTTCAAAGATGGATTTCCAAGAGTCCAAAGGTCCAGAGCGACTTTGTCCCAAAGCTCGGCCTCCATCTGCAAAACTCTTGGAACCGTGGACCTTGTCTCTTGTCTTGTCTCCGTTCTCACTCTATCCCGTCTCTGCCTTACCTTAACCTACTTTGCCTTACCCTGCCGCTTTGCCCGCCTGTTCCGCTGCCTCATCATACATATCAATCTAGTCATCCACACTTTCTGTAACTTTGTCGCTTGTCCCATTCCTTCTTGACCTCCTCCCCTCCCTCTCCAAATACCTGCTCCCTCCAACGTCCTTTGGTTGCTCGTTGATTATTCACCTATTTCCTCCCTCTCCTCCGGTGAATACCAACCAACTCGCCGATACTCGGAGCATCAGTGGAATTAGGAATTTTAGGGATTCCAACAGGACGGTTCACTGCGACGTGACGTAGCTGGGTCAGCGAGCAAGACAGATTCCAAGACACCACACAACGCCTGCTGGATGGTTCGGTTTTAGTCAGAAACGGAAAGTCGACGCACGCCCGGTAGAAGACCAACCCGCCCTTTGGTCCTCTTTACCGTCACCTATTACACCTTCCAACTTCGCCCGTCGCCTTGCGTCGCGATTCTCGACTTCCTTCCCCTCCGAAGGCATCAGTAGCCATGCAGGACTTCAGCACTTTCCTGAAAGGAAAGCCCACGCTGCCATCTCTATGGACTGGTAACCTCAACTTCGCCAAGCTCAACCCCATCCCCCACCGATACCGACCCAGTCGAGCAAAGAGAAATCAGAAGAAGCGCGCATCCGGAAACTACACTGGTGCCGAAGATGTCACTTCACTGCAAAAGTCTCTCAACCCCCTCGACACATTACGGAAACTGCAAAATCACAAGTGGCGCCTCCTCGACCTGCAGTACACGATCCTCGTCGCCCTCATCATCTTCTCGCTCTGCATTACGCCCTCAGCGCCACTAATCAAGACCCTCGCCGTCACTGGTGGCCTCCTGCTTTTGACGATACCCGTCACCAGCCAGTTCTTCTTCCCGGGCTTGAGTATATGGGCATACCTCATCTATTTCTTTTGTAGCCGGTAAGTCGACTTGCTTGTGGTGTTAGTCTGCCTGGCTCGAATGCTAATTCAAGATCAGCTTCATCGATGCGAAATACCGCCCCCACATCTGGGTTCGCGTCCTCCCCGCCCTCGAGAACGTCCTCTACGGTGCCAACCTCTCCAACATTCTGTCCGCTCACACCCATCCGGTTCTCGACATTCTCGCCTGGATCCCGTACGGACTTGGCCACTTTGGCGCTCCCTTTATCTGCGCTGGCTTCCTCTTCCTCTTTGCCGCTCCCAAGACGCTTCCGATCTTCGCCAAGTGCTTCGGATGGCTGAACGTGCTCGGCGTCACCATCCAGCTCGTCTTCCCCTGCACTCCTCCGTGGTACGAGAACGAGCATGGCCTCGCCCCAGCTGCCTACGGCATGTCCGGATCCCCCGCTGGCCTGGCCCGCATTGACGCTATCCTCGGCATCGATATGTACACCACCAGCTTCTCGACCGCTCCGGTTCCTTTTGGCGCTTTCCCGTCGCTGCACGCTGCGGACGCCGTCATGGAGGCTCTCATCCTGAGCTACTGCTTCCCCCGCTTCCGCCCTCTGTTCGTCATCTACGTTGGATGGATCTGGTGGGCAACCATGTACCTCAACCACCACTACGCAGTCGATCTGGTTGGCGGCTCTCTGCTCTCGGCTGGAATTTTCTACTTCGCCAAAGCTCGATACTTGCCTCAGCAGCAGGCTGACAAGAAGACTCGCTGGGAGTACGACTACGTTGAGATTGGCGAGCAGACCAAGGTTTTCGACGAGGAGTACGGACGGATGTACAACATGGGATACCTTCAGCGCCGCGGCAGCTCCGACAGCGATGAGTGGACAGTTGGCAGCAGCTCTAGCTATAGCACATCTAGCCGGGGTAGCGGAAGTTTGAGCCCCGCCCTTTCCGAAGAATCCGGTCGCAGCATTTTCAGTATCGAGATCAGACCCGACAACGACAGATACGAAATCCCTCAGCTCACAGAGGTGGCTGTGCAGTAAACACCTCTCGTCACACGCGCAGACCTATCTAGAAACACGATGAACAAAGCACGCAGTGCCGCGAACCCGAAAGGCGGCGGCGCCGGATCAACCCTGCAGCGTGCACTGAGAACCCTCGGACGATTATTCGAAACCATGAACCCAAACACCCCCCTTAACCAACACCTCTTTATTCAATTCTCATCATCAGCACTTTTTTTCTTTTCACTCAAAACGGATACCACTTTGGATTACCTGTACCATTTGCATCAGAAGCACAGCAACGGCGCAATAGTGGTTTATTTTACAAACGACAGAAACAGCCGGAGACGCAACGATCTCGACAGGCTTAGGAGTAACGGCCTCATGGATGACCACAACAGCAGAAGAAAGACCCACGGAGTCGGGGAAGGGGCAGCAACGGAAGAGATGGGGGACATGGGATGATATAGAGTCCCCCCGTACATATTAATGTGTTCAATGTCGAGATCAATCTCGATATCGTCTGGCATCTAGCCAGGATGGGATGGAGTTTGATCTCTGGCGCCCGACCAGCAGGAAGGTGGGCCCTATGTAATGTGGAGGCACGAAGGGGAAGAGTATACCACGAGTAGAGGTAGAGCAGTCGCTACTGAAGTAGTTGATGAGGTGAAGAAAGAATAACGAGATTACCTATTCTCTCGATACACATGTTCACTTTTGTCCGTGAGGTTTCGCCTTTTGCAGTCTGCTGCAGTTCAGTTCGGACTGGGTTCACGTCAAAGGATGGTAAGGTGAGGGTAACCCGCCTGCATTCCGACATGGAGTGGTTGCAGATCATCTTTTCCCCTTCCATGGACTCTCGTTCTCGACCCTCGCCTACCCAGCTGACCCGACCCCGGCTCGGCCGGCCAAGTAGGTTGCGCGGCCCACGGCCGGGCTTGGGAGCTACGGCACCACCACGGCACACACGGCAAGGATTTATGGTGCCTTGTAGAGTTCTGTGGCGTTGCGATGGCGCAGACGGCGGGCTTAGATGGACAAGGTGGAGGAAGAGAGGGGGAAAAGCAGCGGAGGCACGGAGGCTTGGAGGCTTGGAGGCTTGGAGGCTTGAGGGGAGCACTGGGAGGAAACGGCGAAACGGGAATGGAGCAAGGTGACGCTAGAGCCAAGACCCGAGCGATCGGGTCCGGCAAAATCCAGCCTGCGAATTTATCCCCGCTCTCAATTGTGGGTTTGGCTTGGTTTGCTTGGGTGGCTTTTTCCCTGGTTCTGGTTGTGAAAGTTCCCTGGTTGGATTTGTGCTGCGCCGAATTCTAGGGTCCGAGGGGCCGGGGTTGACGGACCGGGGGGTCCACTTCGCCGAGCAAGGGTTCTTGGCATGGGGGTTTTGGGTTTCTTCGTTTTCTCTTCGTGAAGTTTCCCCCGTAATTTCTTTAGTGGGGTCGTTCGAAGGCCAGGCGACAAGTATGGTTTGCGACATTTCGGGAATTTCCCCAATGAGTGCCTTGGGGTAGGAGAGAGTCACAGGTGGTAATGATGGTCATGCTCTGTCAAGCATTGTGCACAGCAATTGATCAAGTATAGTACGGGCGACGTGGGTATACTGTGTACCCTTAAGATAGCTTCGTTACCGGCTATGAAACCACAACCTCGTGGCCAGACAAATACCATCTCTAGAGTATTCAGCTGCATGTTTGCTCAGTGGGCCTCTACGAATATATCTTCTAGACCTCATTTCTTCTTCGACGGCGGAACTATTTACAGTTGCCTCAACCACTTGTGCTTCGAAAGCTTTCTCAACACCATGTCTTTAAGTTGGTAGTATACGGCCCAGAAATCCAAACGTCTCAAAGCGAGGTTCAATTCCCTCAAGTCGTCTTCGAAAGCATTGTACCGAGCCTGAGGGTCCGACCTCCTCAGACGTTCCATCGCGTCACTGAGATCCCTTATAGATTGATCGCTAACTCTCTGCCCGTTCGAACGTAGAGTAAAAGGGTTCGAGGCCGGGCCTCGCACAATGTAGATACCTAAGCTAGCCAAAAGACCAGCCGCGAGAGCTATCCAGAGCCACGTGCAGAGACTTCTTCGAATGGCTAGTCTATCATGTCGGCTGTACGTCGTGGGTCTGCGTCGCATCTCGAGCTCTGTGAGGGCCCAGAAGAGCAGGGCGCACGCTGGTGGTACTAGAGCATTCTGTAAGGTAGTCACCGAGCGCCACGCGGACGGAATCTCCCATAAGAGAGACATGTACACCGTGGCAATGAACAAAACGAGTACTGATGGGTTGTGACCAAGATTGACTGGGTGCCTCACAACATCGAGAGTTGCTGCCGCGGCGCCTGAGAGCATCTGGCTCCAGGATTGTGCGGCTGGCGCCCGCCTCGTGTACCTGACTGGGGAGAAGGATCGGATGACCCTGCCGGTGCTGCTGCCGCGGCCGCGGAGCGAGGGGTCCATTCTAGAGGCCAACTGTACCGACGTCTGTCTGATTCGCAACGTGGTAGCGATGTCCTGTCGAATACTAGCAAAGGAGACCATATATCCGACACCGCTGGAACGAGCGACCAAGACGCCGAGAACGCGTCTCGATTTATCGTCGACGATCCAGGAGCCCGAGTCTCCTGATTGAAAACCTGCCAGATCGAGATTAGCAAAGTGGCCATTGCTGCAATGCTTGGGGAAAGGTTGAGTCTCTGGACGCCATACCTCGACTAGAGGCCTGTACCTCAACCGTCCAAATTTCTTGCACTCTTTCACCACCGCCCGAGATCATGAACGAAGAGTTTGGGCAAAGATGGCTACGCACCAACCCTGTCATTCCGGAAACTGCCCACACCGTTTTCTGGGACGGCGGCGTGTCTGGATGATCGTGGTCCACGAATACCTGGTTTAGATCAGGGCAGTAGCTTTCGATGAAAGGATTCTGCCACATTGGTGGTTTCCCTGCGCCATCTGGGATTCTATTTAGAAGCAATAGATTGGCTTCCACCGGTACCAGTAGCCAGTCGTCCCCGCTCCGTAGTCTGTCTTCATCGATTCGGCACGTGATGTATCCCTCCTTGGTCGTCAAGTCTTCAGGCGTGATGTGACTTGCGTTTGTTGCTTGTATCATGTCTGCAAATGAACGCTCTGCGGTAGATTCTTCCTTCTCTGTCGAGGCCTTACTCCTCATTTCTCTCGTGGATCCTGCCCCATCGTTGAGGGTATCCTCTTCCATTGACGCAGTCTCGTGAATCAGTCCCGCGGTTTCGCCCCTCGCGCTCTCACCATCGTCCGAAGCAAAAGAAGTAACCGAATCCGAATCGCCACTATCAATGTCATCATCAAAGATAAAGAGCGAGCCCTCATCAGAATCGCTCTCATCGTCAAGTGAATTGTCTGTAGGCTCATCCTCGTCATCGGGCGCGTGGCTCGTTGTAAGAGCGTGGTATTTGCCCCTGATCGAAAGAAGGCCGCCGATCGTTGACGTCCGCTGGCCCAGGTTGGAGGATTGGACAACGATCAGACAGCCGCAGAGAGTGCGGGCTTGTGCCGGATCGCGAATCGCACACGCAGCTTCGAGAGCTGTGCGACGGACTCGCTCCTTGTGGTAGCATAGATCGAGTGGGGAGAAAACATGTCGACTCTCGGGCCTTGACATGATCTTGTGAAAGAAGCGGATCTCATCCCACCTGTTCAGACCGACGATACGGATGAGGGTTATGGTGTCTCTCGTCGCGTCCGCCGTGCCTGTCGCTGCTATTGTTTGACTGGACCCATACGCAGACGATATGGAGACGAGACTGGGCACAATCGTTGGCAGAATGAACTCGGATTTAGCGAAGAGTTGATGTCTTTGAGCACTCAAGGTAGTGACGAAACGCTTCAAGACATCCTTTTCTTCCGATGTGAATGCGGTGTTTGGGTCAACTTCTGCTTCAGGGCTGAGTCTCTTCAATCTTGCCGGTCGCAGAATCACTCTTCGAGGCTTTTGTGGTAGATTTGGTGTTGCGGTTGGTTCCGTCAACGGCGTTGTCTTCGCTGGTGAAGCGGTTTCTGCAGGATGGCTTGCTTCAAGAGGAGTTTCTGTTGGGCTGGGTTCCACTGGGAGAGACTCTACTGGAAGACAATCAATCGGATGAGAGTCTCCAGGTGGAAGCTTCATGAAGGAAAGTTCCAATGTTGGAGTTTGCACACTTTGAGGCTCCAGTAGTTCCGCTGGGAGAGGTGTAATCGGAGGTGTCTCTTCATCCGCCGAACCAAGATCGACCACGTTCTCTGAAACCGAGTCGTCGTCTGCGTTGCTGTTACCACTAGAGTTGTCGCAAATCAATATCTTCCTCACAGGTTCAGGCTGGTGAATAGGTGCTTTCGCAACCATTCGGACCAAGCCTATCTGGACGACCCAGAGAGTGATCCCATAAAGAATGAAACCGGGGCCCTCCTCCAGGGGTTCTAAATCTGTACAGCCCTTTTCCATGACTGCTTCGGTTTTGGATCTAGAGCTGAGACCTGTTGGAGAAGGGTGTCGATATCGCCGTGTTGAGCGGAATAGGTTAACGATCGCATTGGTCTAGACAAGTGATGCTACCTGGCAGCTGATCTCTGGTAATAAGTGATAATCATCAGAGACGAAGTCGCGAGAAATGGGGGTTGGGGATCTAATGAGGCTGTGAGACACCAAGACTTCACAGGGCGACGTATTTCATGCACTACGGCCGGTGTCACACCGAATGGATTAATTGGCCTGTGTCACTAGTAATGCAGTCATGTGGCACCGAGAGCGAGGATGCTGGCCGTGAGATCCTCAGCCTGGTCTGCGGATCCCAGACGAAATTCCTTTCAGCAGGAATCCTTCCTCGCAGATCTCACCTCGCAGATCTCACCTCGCATTCGTTATCCTTCCTCACCAACGCTACCTAGCTAACATACTGCCGATGATCAATGCCCTCCACCCGAGAAGATGGCCGATAGCGACAACCGATCTGATGATAGAATCATCGCAGAGTCGATTTGGGGGCCATGCGAATCAAGCCAAGAGAAACACCTTGCCAGGTTCC